CTCTCGCCGGCGGCTATTTCGCGCGAACTCCACCGAAATTCGCGGACCGGAAGGAGAGCTTTCAACCCCGGTGCGATTTCTACCACCGTCACACGTCGACGTCGGGGCGACATCGACGCGACGTCAACGTGACATATGGATCGAGCGGTCGACCGATTAATATTATTTCGCACGCTTCATCGCGGAGCTTTTACGTAAGCGCGAGGTGTTAATAACTGCGCCGGCGTTCTCTGATAGCGGCGAAACTATTCGAAAGTTATTATTCAGGAGCGGACGCGGGCGAGGATAAAAAATTGGAAGAATCCTCCGCTTCGCCTCGTACGAATTTCTCCCCGGAGGAGGAGGAGGAGGCGTATAATTAGCGCGATTAATGTGTCGTGAAGCCGCCGCCATCGTCTTCCTGCTCTTCCTATTCCGTGCGAACGATTGTTCGTTAGAGAGGAGAGCACAATGAGACCGATGGGGGTCCATATAAGAGATATTTTTACGACATGGCGCTTCCTACTGCGCTGTAAGTTTCACCGTGCAAGCTGCTATGGTGTAACGCGGTCGTGTAACGCTCTCGCAGCTTCCGACCTGTCGCATCTTTCATCCGCGGGGTCTCCTTCTCTCCATTTCGCTTCTTTCCAACGCTGATTTCTCTTTCTTCATTTTTCTTTTTCCTTTTTCCCTTCTTTCCTTCTCTTTACTCTTTCCCGTCACAGATAAATTCCTGTCTCGAATTGTTATGATAACTTGATATGTATCGTTTGGGACATGCGAAGTGTGTTAAACTCGACACAATTTTTTACTGTGTATATATTGTAATAACTGAACCCAGAAGACGATAATAAAAGCATCTATCCGCCTATATCTATTTGTGTCTGTCAACACGTCAGGTAAAACGTTCGGCGCTTGCGGCGGATATAAAATGATAGAGACTCGTTCAGAACCCGTGTCAGACGAGGTATTGGGGAGATTGATGATTGCGGATTAGAGATCAGAATTCGACGGGTCAGTTAATCTCGATCTTAGCTCGCTTCGTCCCGATTGGTCACAATCCTCAGTTCGAAATCGTTAATCCCCGATATCTAAACTGACACGAGCTTTCGGACGATAACGACGATCGCGTCTCTAACGTGGAACGTTAGAAATGATTTCATTGTCATCACAGGATTTCAATTGCGCGAAATGAGCGGCTATCCCCATCGAAAGTAGACGACTCTCGCAACGAGCGGTAGACGCGCAGACGAGGTGTGACACACTTTTCGTCGACGCATTCGGTCACCGGTCTGCTTATCTTACTATGTAAGCGCCGATGGTCAAATTTCGTTTTATCCTCGGGCGAAATGCCATGAAAGTACGGGCCTTTGCACCGGCCGACGCGTCTTTCGTTTCTATCAGCGCGTCTTCAAGATTCATGGCACGGACGACGACTGACTTTACGGAATTGGGAGAAGGACGATCAGTCGGCGATTTATCGATAAGAAACTATGGTAATAACCATTTTTCTCGGGCTCTGAATATCGATCGTGTAATTTTTCTCTAGGATGGAAACGTGAAAAGCGAAAATTCCAAATGTTTTCAAATTAGAAAACTTGTACTTTTCACGAATTCACGCTGAAAGAGAAGACTCATGACTACCTGGGGGTTAATCATGGGATCTTCTCCTCTAACGTGAGTTAGTGTAAGTTTATTCAGTTGAAAAATTTGGGTTTTTCATTTTTCACGTTTACGCCGTAGGAAAAAATTACACGATCGATACCCTCATCACGGACAACTAATTCTCTCTTTTCGCGTGAGAATTCTACGTTTGCACGCGCAATAATTCGAGATTCAGCAACTATGCGGTATCTCAATTTTTCCTCCGGCTCAATTTCACACCTCACGAGCGCGCCGTATAATAAGGCTAAAAGTCGCTTCGTGATTTGACAACGATTAACGGTGACTCATCGACGTGCACCGTTATGTTCCTCGCGTTATTCGCGCGGCTAGCCGACGGTATGCGCGTTTAAGTTCCTCGACCCGGCGCACCTTCGCCCCTCGGGCTGTCCTCTCGATCGTTTATTAATTCTCACCGAATGCGATTACCGAGATCGCAGAACCTGAGAGAGACGCGCGACCGTACGCGGGAGAACGCGATGGTACTCGAGAGCCACCCGGCGAGCCGTCGTCGGCGATGAACATTTACTCCCGTCTCCGGCCATATCGCTCCGCCGGCCGCAATTATTTCCAATTGAAGGGAATTACTTCGGAAATTATTGCGGCGATCAAGCGGGAAGGCATTTTACTGCCGGCGCACTTTTCCAGCGCGCGCGCTTCCTCTCCCGCTGTCGTTTCAACGGCGCGCTGATCGATCGGTCGATCCGTCCGTCCGTTCAAGAACGGAGTTTCGTCCAGCACCTTTCGATCGCGAATCACGGTTTCGCGCCGTAAAACTATCCGGGCGCTCGATTACGGCGAAGTCGATCGTTGATTTTTCCGCCGGCGTATCGGGAGAAAGCCGACCGCGACGACGAACATGTCGTAACGGTGCCGGCGCGGTGCAATATTGTTTATGAAAAAGATCCCGTCGTAAAGAGCACATCGGGGCGGGTGCGAAGCTGTTCCTGCATCCCGGCAAAGCTCTCCGCCGATATCGGCGGAGGTGAGAAAATGGGCCGGCGTGGTTGCGAAACTGTTTTAATTACGCAACGACGACGTGTTTCGCGCGCGGCGAAAATTCTCGCGCATATTGCGATATCGCGTTCGCGGGGACATATGGCCGGCCTCGCCGCGGCCGGATCGATGAAAACGATCGCGACGGAGGTGTGTCGAGAACGGATTTCTAACGATAATAATTCGCCGGCTGAAATTAGCGTTGCGCGAGCGAATGCGGTGAAAATGCGCGCGTCGTGACGCTTCCAACGACGACGGCGGTATCGGAGTGACCGGTGGGGACGTCGAGAAGAAAAAGGGTGGGTTAAGAAGAGCTCGGGAAAAGGCGTGTCGCGTCTAACGCGCTCCTCCGCAAATTAAATTCACTTTCGAACGTGTATACAATCGCCGTCGCGGAATCCGCCGATTGAAAGTGAACGTGGTGGACGCGTTAGAACACGGAGTCGGACGGAGCGGGACGATGAATTACACGGGCGAAGGAAAGAGAGAGGGAGAGAGAAAGAGAGAGAGAGAAGAGAGAGAGAGAGAGAGAGAACGGCCGATTGAGGTACCCCGTCGAGGTTACGGAAAACTTACTCCGCCTAATCGACGAAGCGTTCGCTCGCGGTGTGTCGGTGAAATCCCCGCTCAGATTAATCCGCGATTAAGGTGGAATAAAAGTCAGATCGCGATAAGAGAATGTCAATGATATCGCGATCGCGGCTCGGTCGCGCGCGCGGGGAATTCGCGCGGTACGAGAAGAAGCGTCTTCTCGCGTGAAAAATCAATGAGATATCCGATACTTAATGCGCGTACCTGAGCTGAGTCGTTAGGCACACACAGAGGTTGCAATTCCCGCGGATTAACGTTCGCGTCGTTAACGTCGAGCGCGCACCGTTTAGCGCGACGCGATCTTTCTCGCGCGGACGTGGCTGCGCGCCACGGTGTTCCACGGTGCGTACCTGCCGATTAATTAGCACTGACGCTCTGCGTCAGCCGGTTAATTCGCTCGTTCGCTCTTCGTTATCTCGCAAGAGAGAGAGAGAGAGAGATATCCCTCACGAAAATGCTGATCTTACGCCGGCGGTGTGATCGATTTCCCGCCTGGTAAAACGTATATAAAATCACCGCGACGAAAGTTCTCGTTCGGGAATAAGATTCGCGGTGCGTGCCCGATGCGTGCCCGTTTGCGCGTGTGTGCTGCACGCGTGCGTGTGTGCGGGCACACGTGCGCGACCACCGAGGTAACTCTCTTCTCGTTACTCCGCGATTCCCTCCACGAGCGGATTAGAAATTCGTGACTTCGCTGGATACGATACGCGGCTCGCGTATCGGAAAATTGCGCGAGGCAGGGGGGGGAATAAAGAAGAAAAAGAGGGGAGCGGGGAAAAAGGAGAAGCTGGGCGCGCGGTGGCCGAAATTTCGATTTCGCGCCCCCGCGATCGGCATTCCGCATTATCGCCGCATCGCGGCACGCGCGCGAATGGAAAGTCGGATGTCGCGAGCGATAAACCGCTCTCGTTGTCGTCGTTATCGGGACGTTAAGAAGCGAGCGAACAGGAAGGCGCGCAGGATGCGACCGGCAGCGAAAGTCCTGTCGTTTAATGTGCTCTCCGAAGCAGCTCTTAATGCGAGCTCGCGAATTTTTGCCCCCCCCCCCCCTCTCCCCCTTCCTCTCC